CCACTTATAAGACATAAACTGGTTGAATGGATGAAAAAAACACACCCCAGTATATGCTGTCTGCAGGAAATACATCTAACTTGCAGGACTTGCACAGACTCAAAGTAAAGAGATGGAAAAAAATATTCCATGCAAATAAAAACCAAAAGTAAGCAAGTGTAGCCAGTCTCATATCAGATAAAAGAGACTTTAAATCAACAATGGTAAAAAAAAGACAAAGATGGTCATTATATAATGGTAAAGGGATTGGTTCAACAAGACGACGTAACAATCCTAAATATATATGCACCTAACACAGAAGCTCCCAGATTTATAAGCAAATTCTACTAGCTCTAAGCAAAGAAATAAACAATAGCATCATAATTTCCAGGGACTTTAACACCCTGGCTGGACAGATCATCAAAGCAGAAAATCAATAAAGAAACACTGGATTTAAACGAAACTCTAGAACAAATCGACCTAACGGACATTTACAGAATATTCTACCAAAAAACTAATGAATATACTTTCTTCTCATCAGCACATGGGACATTCTCCAAGACTGATCATATCTTAGGCCACAATACAGGTCTCAGGAAATTAAAACAAATTGAAATCATACCATGTATCTTCTTAGACCACAGTGGGATAAAACTAGAAATCAATTCCAAGAGAAACACTCCAATCTACACAAGGCATGGAAATTAAACAATCTGTTGCTGAATGATCCTTGGGTCAGTGATGAATTTAAGGTAGAAATTAAAAGATTCCTTGAACTGAACTAAGGGGACATAAGCTATCAAAATCTATGGGAAACAGGAAAAGCAGTCCTAAGGGGAAAGTTCTTAAGCCTGAAATGCCTAGATTAAAAAGACAGAAAGATCATAAATTAACAACTTAATGTCACATCTCAAGGAACCAGAAAAAGAAGAGGAAGCCAAACCCAAAGCCAGCAAAAAAAAAAAAGAAACAACAAAGCTCAGAGCAGAACTCAATGAAATGGAAACCAAAAAAAATAAAAATAAAATGCAAAGGATTAACAAAACACAAAGTTGTTTCTTTGAAAAGACAAAATCGATATACCACTAGCCAGATAAACCAGAAATAGAAGAGAAAGGACTCAAATAAGCTCAATTAGAAATGAAAACAGAGACATTACAACTGATAACACAGAATTACAAAATACCATCCATGAATACTGTGAAAACCTCTACTGTCACTAACCAGAAAATGTAGAGGAAATGGATCAGTTCTTGGAAGCATACAACCTCCCAAGCCTGAATCAGGAAGAAACAGAACTCTGGCACAAGCAGGCTACAGTTGAGATGGCAAAACTGTGTCGACAGCTTAGGCACATACTTTGAGTAATTGTACTGCTTCCTGTTTGAGGATATAATGAACTAAACTTTTGATTCGAAATTGGACATTTCATATTTAATGACCTAATACAAGGTATCCACGTAACAAAAACATTTGTACCCACTTAATATTCTGAAAAACAAAAAACTTCCACAAGGAAAGGGATCAACAAGTAGTTTCCAAATCTTATTTGGACACAAATAAGTGAACACATTAATTTTATTTTTAAAATAAATAAATAAAAACCATGTAATTTTATAAGGCAATAAAGGAGTTTGCCATTATTACAGTGTTCCCTGGTACAAATTATATATTGTAAGTTATATATCTACATTTAGAAAAGCAAACTGGTTTCATCTCATCTCGCAAGCCAACTGCAATAGATTAGTAGCATTTGCACGAGGATGTTGAGGCCTAATCTAAGATTAATAAAAAAGAGAGACTTGATTTCTTAGTAATATTTGCCATTGGTATGAAATATGTATGCATACTACATATTTTCTGATCTTGATAAAAATGTTCTACCACAGAGTATATGTGAAAGGAAAAAGAAGAGGGGGAACATGGTTGGCAGAATAATGGCCCCCTAAAGATGCCCACGTCCTAATCCCCGGAACCTGTAAATATTCATGTTACCTTACGTGGCAGAGAGGAATTAAGACTGCAGGTGGAATTAAGGTTGCCACCCATCTCACCTTAAGATAAGGACATTATCCTGGGTTATCTGAGTGGGCCCAATGTAATCACCGGGTCCTTACAGGTGGAAGAGGAGGCAGAAGAGGAGAGTCAGAGAAGGAGATGTGACGAGAGACGCTACATTGTTGGCTTTGCAGATGGTGGAAGTGGCCACGAGCCATGGAATGTGGGTGGTCTCCAGAAGCCAGAGAAGACAAGGAAGGGGGTTTCTCCTGGAGTCTCCAGGAAAAAAAGCAGTCCCACCAACACCTTGATTTCATCTTAGTGTGACAGACTTCTAAACTAAGAACTGTAAGAGGATAATTTTGTATTATTTTAAGCCACTAATCTGTTGCAACAGCAATAGTAAACTAATAAGGGGAGGGGAAAGATAGGCAGAAAGTAATTACTGTTTGGATGAGGGTGCATGGCATGAAGCAATTTCATTCTGCTGTCAGTCCCAATTAGCTGAGAAGCACTACCTACACGCACTTGCATTAGGAGAGCACCCTAACTTGTAGGATGAGAGAAACCAAGGTTGCATTTAGTGTTTCTCACTCAGGCCTGAGTCCCATTCCCATCTACAGTACTGCTCAGGAAGGAGGAAGCCGGAATCCACAGGGAGGCCGAGGGAAACAGGCCATGACCCCGGTTCCAGCTCAGCAAGCAGCTCCCGAGGCCCAGCACTGGACGCCAGCTCTGCAATGGCAGGAAAAGTTAATAACCACATACGTGAGTGGTGCCTTAACTAAAACCAACCCTCAATCCATTTCCTCTGTACCTAAACCAAATAGTCATAAACCTGGAAAGAAAACAAAGAGGATTTAGGGCAGAAAGACTGTTTCAGCTATGTCTGATTAGGAAAGGAAAATGTTCCACACTGAAAACCAAGCAATGAATGCAAAGGCTAATGTCAGTTCTGGAATAGCTAGGAAACAATTGACTTCACGAAGTTTCTCATCTATAAAGTGAGAGTTGCCTTAGTTTTCCATTCTCTAGCACAATAATTGTACTTGTCCCCAAAGAAACACACCTATGTGTTGTGCAATGTGAAATAAAGCTCTTAATTTTAATTATGTACAAAATATGCATAACACTGAAGACCCTCCTCGATGCAGACACTGCCACATTCCCACCAGGCGACATTTGGGTCCCACATAAGAAACTCATGTTCCACACAGGCGTGAGAAGTAGCTACATAAGCAATGGGTTGCAACGTCTTTAGTTTTCCCAATTTCTCTCTTTCTGCCCACAAGTAACTGAGAAGACATAGTAAAAAAAAGTACAGGACTAGGACTGAGAGGATCAAGTCTAAGTTCTGGCACCTTCACTTCCTGGATATTGAAAGAATGTATGTCCTTAACCCCTCTGAGCAACTCAGCTTCTCCAACTACAAGAGGAGAAACCAGGAGAGTTCACCTCTCACAAGGCTGTTCTGAGCCTAAGATGAACTTGCCAATAGGGAAGGTCCTCGCCATCTCAGAAGTGGTGAACACGGGTCAGATAATAGAATCACGGCAACTGGAATCTGTGGATATGGACATGGCAGAAAAGACTAACAGGTCATCAGTTAACTTCTCTGAGGTTTAGGTTCTTCATTTGTCAAAGAGGGGCAATAGTAAGTACTATGGGGGAGATTATAGTTGATGGACATGAAGTTCCTGGCACAGTACCAGCACACAATAGATGCTCAATAAATGTGAGCTAGGAGTACGCTGGTATAGGGTCTCTCAGTTCCCCCTGCTTTCTTTCTGTGTCCTCACGGGAAATCAGAGCGTGCTCCCATGACCCAGCCAGTTGTAAGTTTTTCCCAGCAGGCTTGAACCCAACCTGGGGCCTTGAACATTCCTAGGCACTGATAAAGGTATCAAGGTTGTTGTCCAGAAGAAACTGGCCCAGACCCTGAGCCAAATTCCCTAAACACTCATAAAAACCCTATCTCTGACCCTCTCACTGTGGACATATCTAGGTAGGATACCCCATTTCTCTTGCTGTCCATTGCAAGGACTGCTACAGCACTCTGTAAGCTCCCCTAATAAATGCTTCAGAATCATCACCCTGGTGTCTAGTGCATCTTTCTTTAGAATCCCAACTAGCTCCATCTCAGGACAGTTCGGGGCACTCCCTTGTGGGAACTCCCCTGCTATTAATACTACCTTTGGGGCGATTCTAGCCATGGGTTCTGCAAGACAAAACAGCTGGCCAGTAGTCCCTCCCACCGTCTATGCTTCTCTGGGATTTAGCAGCAGACAAAATTTCCAAAACCATTTTAGAGCAGCATGTTTGCAAATCTCAATTTGATTTTCGTGTGTGTGTGTGTGTGTGTGTGTGTGTGTGTGTATGCCAACATCATCAGTTTTAAGGGTCAAGTTGCCCCAAGTGCTGAGCAGAACTTTTTACTGAACAAATTATTGGACCACAGTTCTTGTCAATAACTGCATCATAATCAGTGGCTAAGCGAATATCACCAGGTATATTGAAGAAATATCAATTAGAGGCATTAAAAGAATATGGAAAGCCCCAGGCCCCAGCCCTGCTATGCACTGCTTAGCACGATCTCCAGTCTCACAACCAGCTGCCAGGTGGGACATCCTCTCACTCCTAGTTTATCAGTTTATCCTCATCACACCTGGTTTATCAGGTGATTCACGTGAGCTAATCCAGGAGCTGAAAGTACAAATACCTGTCCGTAAAGCCTGGATGGTTTCTTCGAAATCACTCCAGTGTTTTTATGGTAAGAGCATCCCTTTTCTTCTGTCTGCATCCTCTTACACATCCTTGACTTGGTTTCCAAAGTACATAGGAGTGCTACACTTCTAGAAAGAGAGCACAGAGTAAACTGATCTATGCCTCCGTGTGTACCAGCTAAGGGGGCCCTAAAGTCAAGGTAACACCAAAAAGTACTAAAAGGCTGCTCTCTCCATCTCCATTGTGAAAAGCAATGCACTTCCAGTCTAAGCCAACCTCTGCCTCCTGAGCCCTCTTACCTTGAAGGAGACGTGCTGCTCCATGTGCCGCAGCAGCTGTGGCTTCTGGGCTGCTGTGTAGTCACACACCGTGCACTTAAACTGCTTCCCTGGAAAGAAGCGGAGGACAAGGTGAGCGTCGCCAAGCCACGGCTCCCACTGTGAATGAGGTACCAGATGTGGCGCCAGGTACACAAAGGTGTCCGCTGCCGTGTGGGAGTCCAGAATCTCAGAAGGGAATAGCAAGGAGGTGCACAGATGTGATGCAGCATGCTTGCTCTTCAACAGGTGGCAGCAGAAGGGCCAACTCCGGCCGGAGAGACCCCTTGGGCAATGACAATGAAACAGGCTTCCGAAGAAAAAGTAACGGCACACCCGGCTGCCTAGAGAGAAGGACATTGAGGGTGAGAGCACAGAGGAATGGACCACAGGGTGGGCAGGAAAGTGGAGCAGCTGGATCTTTCTTCTGGAACCTAGAGTCTGAGGTCTGCAAAAGGACAAGAGCTGACCTGGAAAGGTCGTAGGTCCATAACATCCTGGACCATCTCACTAAGGAGCTCAGATGTGACCATGACAGACAGATGAATCTGCAGGATGGAAGTCAGCAAGGAGCAAGATCTGTGCTGCAGAATTCCAACTCCGGTAGGAGTACAAAAGGCATTTTTGAGGGAATGCTAGAAAGAAAACTGGAGAAATGTAAAACATTGCTCTCTTAAGAAGATTAATGTTTTAGCAATATTTAAACATTCAATAATGGGGTAATTGGGTCCATATGTTAAAACAAATTAATGGCTACATGGGCTCACTATATTTTTTGCCCCTGATTAGTGTAAATAAAACCTCGAATTGCAATAATACAACCATGTGCAACCACATATACACATGACCTACTTCTCATAGCAGTAAATTGTTCAACAAGCAGCTCCTACTGGTGTACACCTCCTCAGGGCACCACACCCACGGCCACTGCGGCCTGGCTGTCCAGAGACACGCACGCCTTCTGGAGCACTCCTGCACCTCTCCCTCTCAGACAAGCTGCGGGGAAGAGCTGTCCACAGAGCAGCCTCTCTGCTCCCCTCCCCTCCAATCTCCACCAGCTCACCTGGAAACCTGTTTACACCAAGGTAACCCACAAACTCCACGATGCCTGTGGCAGATTCCAGTCTTTGTGTTACTGGATGACTGCACTGCACGGGACTCTGCGGATAGCCCATGCTTTGGAAGTCTTCTGTTCCTCTGAATCCACAGCTCCGCTGCCTCACTGGGCCTCTCTGTTCATCCTGAGTATCCCTGCGGCATTCTCTCCCATCCACCATCTCTTATGCCCACATGTTCCACAATGTTCCAACCCACACTCCTAGTCTTCTCATTCTGCAAGCATCTTTGCACATAACTGTCCTCTACAGGCTTTTGTGAACCTTTGACACCAAAATCTGCCTCTTCCACTCTTATCTCTTCCCTGAACCTGAGATTTGAGAAGCCACCAGCCACCTTGCTGTCCCAATGTCCTGAGCTATCAAATGGATTCTACTTCCAGCCTTCCTAGTTCGTCCCCCAACTGGCCAGCCAAGTCTGACCCCAGTAGCCTTCCTCAACAGGTTTGGGGCCCTTTCATTCACCTCATTTTCTCAGCACCTGATTTCATCTCCTAAATATTTCTCATATCTGTCTATTTCCCTCTATCTCTAGTAGCTCCACATTGGTGTAGGTCCTCCTCATTTCTTTCCTAGGCAACCGCAAAAGACCCTAAATTGGTTTCCTTGCCCTCATGAAACCCTCCCATCCATTTATCCATCATCCACCCATCCATACATCAATCCTGATGCCCTATCCTCCATCCAGATGATCTACAGCATAAACCATCCTACAGTCCTTCCCGCAAAACCCACCAATGACCCCAACTACAGAACAAAGTTGATGTTCCAGAACACAGCACAGAAGGCCCTCCAGAATCAGGACTAACTCTCCTTGCCCCACCCCTCTCTGTGACTTCCTCCTGTCCCTGTTCCCTCTGGATTTAGGCTCCATAACACTAAACTCCTTAAGTTCTCATAACTTTCTGCCTGGTCTTTGCAATCTCAGATCCCCAAGACTTTGCTAACATTTTTCAGGCCTGGGATGCACTGCCTCTCAGCATCTGGCCGTTCTTCACTTTAACTCAAAGCAAGCTGAACAACATCTCTGGTTACTAGGCTAAGAGCCAGCCCTTCACTGGCCCCACTACACACTGTCCACACTCTTAAGTCCGTGCACTGACTCTATAGCACTGCAACTAACTGCTCACAAGTCAGGGGCTGCCTTCTTCCACCCACAGGAAGGGACCATGTCTTACTCATCTTGGCACCCCAGTGCTTAAGTGCGCACACAGACTGAATATATTCCCTGCATTTCATTGCGCTGAACTGAACAAGAAACAAGCAGAAAATTTTGTACCTCTTACATGAACAACACTCTCGATAAGAGCAGCAAAAAGAAACAAGTTGTATAAGCATTTTAATACTACAGTTGTACCTATTATTCCAGGTGAATGAACTCCAAATTCTAGATTTTACTAATTCTGAAAGCCCAAAGTGTGGGGAATTTTTTTTCACTTGTAAGACACAAGTTACAATTAGAGAGCAATTAAAACTTTTTTCCTAAACACAGTACCATCTCTTCTCAAACATAAAGCCACACATTTCTACGGCATAATCTCAGCTATACATATTCTCCACTGATGCATGACTCACATGAATACATCATCACGGTACCGGGCAGCCTGAGCAAAATTGTGTTGGGTCCTTTACCACTAGAGTGGGGGGAAGAAAGCTGATGGAACCATTCTCCGAGTTGATAAATATTTTGTCACTCATTATCAAGCACTTGGATCAAAGAGTAAAAGATTAAGTGCTAGAAAGGAAGCCAGAAACGAATAAATGGAATTGCCTCATTTGAAATCAAGAGTCAGCCATTTATGGGTATCCTTTCAAGGCTCTGTAAGAGACGAGGAAAGAGGAAGCTCCTAAAAGCCATCCCTTACCGAGGCATCAGAGCACTAGCAATAAATGTTACAAATGTTTTCAGCAACCACTGACAGCCCTATCAAACAGGCCTGGGAGAGTACTTGACATAATCCTTTGCTGCCTAATTAAAATAATGGGATGCAGATTCATGACTAATCATAAAAGAGCAATGCTTTGAGACCATCAGATTGTTTTCTATGAAGAGACTCCTGAGAATTACAGGGAGAATCGACTGGAAAACCCAGTATTTACTCAAGGTTAGACTGACCTCAAAGGGCTGGTAAATGAACATCAAATGATTGCATGTGGATGCAAATCACATAGCATCCCAGGGCAAGAGAAGGAAGATTTCAAAGAATAAAAGAGATTGGGTTTTTAAAATCAATTGATTTTTCCCACAACATACCTGGATAGCTCCGCCTCCTGGTCTATTAGGCATCATGAGCTATGTTAGGACTCGAGATGCACTTGATCATACATCGTGAGCTGTACGATCTCACTGTGCACCCAAAAGCCTGGGAGGCAGCGATGTTACCCTTTCATGGATGAGGAACTGGGATCGAGAACCAGAGTAACTTGCCAGGTAAGGAGGTGGTAAGTGGCAGAGCCCTGATTTAGACCTGGTCTGTTGACCCTGAAGCCCCTGTTCACAGCCACATAAGAATCCTTTCAGCTAATAAGGATGTGACACAATTTCCCCACAGGGAACAAGGAATTTATACCAGCAGTGGGCATATCTGCACCACTCACACATAAAGGTGGTGTGTCACACGGGATGACAGCCCACCAGAAAGGGCCACCCATAAAGGGCCAGTGCAGGGGACATGCATCCTCTGTGCCTCCGTCCAGCTCACCCTGTGTTCTTTGTTCTCTGCTACTCAGAGGCCCCAACAGAAAAATGGGGAGGTAACTAACCCCTGCCTGCTGCAAGGATGGACTCAGGTACTGAGCCTGCAAGCACCTGAAAAGTGGCCCTGAGAGATGAGGCTGGCGGTGCACGCAGGTGACCTGGCAGCGCACCCTTCTCCACCATGGCCACGCGGGACAGGTGCAGGCAGTGCCCTGAGTCCTACTGCTTTTTACCCCCCTGACACTCTCTGAGACAATACAAAGGCTCAGTTCTAATTAAGCCAGCCTAAAACAATACATCTAAAACAAAAAGAATGTTTTTGGAGAAAATATCTATAAAATTATGATAAAGTGTAAGCAGCTCTAACACCAGAGTTTATAGAAGGCCTCTGCTCCTAGTCCCTACAGCCTCTCTAGCCTCAAATCCACCCAGAGCAAAAGCCAGAATCACAGTGGCTGGGAGGACCCTCTGGGGCGTGGCCGCTGTCACCTCTCAGAGCCCATCTGCCACCCTCCCCCCTCCACTCCATGGACATGGAGCCTCCCCACCTCCGGGCCTGTGTTTCTGCTGTTCCCAGTGCCTGGGGTGCCCGTCCCAGACACCCCCATGCCCTGCTGGCTCCTCTCCCTCAAGTCTCCATTCAAATGTCACCTTCTCACTGAATCCTTCCAGACCATCCTATTTAAAAATCGTAGTCATCATCCCCCTTTACTGATTCATTTTTAGCATGAATATTCATTCATTCAGCTTATAATGTTTTCATATTGAAATTGAATCATTTCATATTCATATTTTCACTTTCATATCTCAATTTCCTCAACATTTGAGCTGTTTCCATTTTTCCATTGTAACATACCGTATATTTTATTGATTTATCATGCTTATCATCTGTCTCACTCCCTAGAATTTTAGCCTCATGACAGTGGAGGTTTTTGTTTTTTGCTTTGGTGGTTGTTTGTGTCGTCCACTATTGTCTCCAAAGTGCCTAATCGCCAAAGTCATTAATTTATTCATCTTTGGTTGGTCCATCGGCACCCTGGCAGGCTGTGAGTACTTTGGAGACAGGACTGTGCCCTTTTCACTCCATGTCCTACGTGCTTGGAAGCGAGAGCGTGCTGGAGACAAGGCGACAGTAAGTCACAGGAGCCCCAGTCGGAAGCCGCCCTTTCTTCCCCTCCCACAATCAACATGGTCACCCAGTGTTGCCATTGTAACTGCTTACACCTTATCAAAAAGTAGTCGACTCACTAGAGCCAGC